TCTGGACACTGGCTCCGCTTACCTCTGTATTACAAAGGTGTGGATATTTAACAGCAGTCGGGAAGGATCATTTGGGCTAGAAGCTGGCGTGATTCTCCTGCACTATACCTCCCGCACTACCTTCAATATACACCCGTATCAGTCACCGAGGTAAAGCTTTTGATGCGAACATTGCTCGGTCCATCAGGTTATTTTTGAGTATAGCTCAGCTGTCGCACTTCATTAAGGTTGCTTCGTAGCCGTACACCAAACCTGCATCGCCTGCGCACTGATCGATCGTTTAGGCGAGGGATCGAATGTTGGTGAACAAAGATATTCATCCCATTGGGAGACAATTAGCCTTGCGTTGTGGGAAAATTTATTGGCCCTCAGATTCAACCCTTTGTTCGTAAGCGGAACAAGGGCCTTTCGGTAAATTAACACACACTTTGGCTACGTGATCTGGCTCGTTCATTGGAATACGGACCAATCATAACATTTGTGGGACAGGAGTAACTTGTCGCGGTTTTGCAACAACTCTGGAGCGAAAATCTGGAGCGCGCTTTTCGAGGGATCCTTACCAACTCTCCGAAACTACTGGTAGCGGACACTGTTGGGTTACTCGGCGCTACTACATGCACTGTACTGAAACGTGCCACTCCCAAAGACCCCAAAGATCAACTTATTAAATCATCTACTGATGAACGAAACCCGAAGACTTCTCATTTCCTTCCACCTCAGCGACAAAGTAACTGTTATCAGTACGCCATACATTTACACTGAGCTGGGTGGTTCATGATCTCTACCCGGTCCTGCTCCAGCGACTGAAAGAGATTCAAGGCTTCATTGCTGTTGTCATCGCGCCTTAATACGGTGTCAGCGCATTGGAATTTTAACCCGGCCTGAAAACGTAATAGCTTTACAGTGTCTAATCTGCGTAGTAAACCAGTCCGGGAGACAAAACGTCTGAAAACAAGTTATTGAAAGTCTGTGCAATCTCCCGGTTACTAGAACATGCGCATAAACAGTTGGCATCTTACCCCTGTTAGACGGGCTGGCACCTCACAGTCCCTAACAGCTAGATAGTTTGACATTCGTGACTCTAGTCACGTGCTTGGGTTGGACACACGCACGACGGTCGTTCAGAGCTAGACCGCGCACCATTCATGACTATGTCCTTTTATGTGGTTGGCCTATTGATCTATTGATCTTTTGTGTCCCGGTTGCTCTGCTTTGTCAGTTTTGAATACAGCTCGTCCGGCACGCTGGTGTTCTTGCTTTCCGTTTGGAGTGGGTTCAGTTACAGTCAGGCGTTATAATAGTCCCCCAGCGGCGAACAGACGTAAGCTAATACATAACCGTACAACCGAGTTACAGTGAGACGGCTCAAATTGCATTTCGCACGACTTGATAATCGTAAATGGTCGGCTATTGGGTGGTGTCCTAAACAGTGCATTTGCCACCAATAAATGAAATTATGGTAGTTGGCCGGCGCCTACCAAATAAAAGCTGACGTGGCCGTGACAATACGATCACGCGAAAGACCGCAACTGTTCAAACGTTATATCCGATCTTTCAGGTACTGCTTTTATCATAGGTGGACCGTAAGTAAGTTGGTCTTGCGTTCTTTATTCCCGCAATACTTCCATATTTGCTTGTTTCCGGTTGGCAATTATCTGTTTTACGAGCCGTTGAATGGATGTTGTTTCTCATTCGCCTCATCATTTTACGTCCTACTGAGTCCCTAACAGAAGCAATAATGTTAGTCAATGCACATTATGTTATAACCACTTGATTCGCTGACATCTTCAGCAATGGTATTTAAAATCTTACAATATTTTGATCCAGTCTGTATGTCGTAAATTTTGACTTTTTCGTTGTCTTTGGTAAATCTTTTTACAGTTTTCAATTATAGTTATTAATTAGTTACACCAACTTTGCCACCATACCATAGTTCCTTGGTTGTTTTCGATTTACATTCTGTGCTTAAGCTACACGTTCAACCGGGACTGTTTCACCGTGTAACTATTTTGGTTTTACGGTTACCGACTTCCTGGAATGCGCTCTAGTTATTTCTTTTGCTACTTTTGAGATACATTTGGAAGCTGTCATTTTGTCAATTACTTGAGGTACGGTTAGTTGGTTACCCATCTTTCAATACAATTGTATTTGTAGAAAGCATTGGGCGACGAAGCATGCATCTTTAAAGATGCTGCAACCCAAAACAACTGCTCGTTTGGAAGGTCGTAATAAGATTAGATTGTGTACTGATAGGCTTTTTGTGTTTCTCAGAAAACTTCCACGCGTACATAACCGCTTATTGTTAAATGGACCTGACGTTGCATTTTCCACAGTCGAACATCTTGCACAGCAGACAAAAAATGGCTTTGGAAGCACACACCAGCTCATGTGTGCCGAACCACACTGACTCTGGTGGTAAGGCAATGCCTGTACTTGAGGTTAAACTTGTCTGTGAAAGGCTCCGCTAAAACACCTGAACATGTCGGCATGATTTCCAGGCTCCTGTGACTAGTACGACTATCCCATATAATTTTGCCAGTCTTGACAGAAATGGCCTAACACAGTCACTAGCTTGCAAATGGCGCCTGATCGTAAGGTATCGCTCCGCATAATCCAGAAGATGGACACGTTTTTCATCTTATTGTCGACAGGTCCTCCAATGATTAGCGCGTCGCCTCTGCAGTTGATCCCTTAAACGGCGGTGTAAGAATGGTATTTGCGTAATGAATACTATTCTTTAAACACGATCAACACACCCAACAACTTTCCGGCCACGTACATCGTGGGTCTCAGTGTTTGAGACGGGTAAAATTGTTTTACTGAAACCACCCTGATTCCAGCACACAATCAGATCCGCTTAGCTGTGGAGACTACCGGATCGACAATAATAACTCCGTTGAGTTCATTAAAAGTGTTGTCCTTTCATTGGACAAGTCAGTCGTCGCTTAGTGCTGCCTATGCCGGCTCAGATGACATCGTCAGTGAAAACTATACAAGCTAACAGCTAAGCCATATCCGAACACTCCTCAATAGTTTAGTTCGATGCTGTGTCAAGATCGGTATTAACAATTGCTCATGCGGCCTTGACTCGAGCAGCTTTTCTTCTCAGCGCGTCTAGTATGCAGAAGTGGAACGATTCCAAGTTAAACGAAAGGAAGACCTAAATAAGACGTGTAGCGTTGTAGTCTGCATCATTTCATATTCACTAGATACTGTTTAATGAGTTCGTTTTTAGTTAGGATGCATTTCTGAGAGACTTGAGAATTGGAAACACTAGCTACCTGCAGTTCCAGAGCATGGCTAACGTATTGATCGCACCAATACACGCTTCAGGAGTTAAAGGCAATGCATTATCTGATGGTGCGTTGAGACACACTGTGCCGAAATCCTCCACGGGACGATGGCATTAATTATTTCCTCAAGTTAGCCTTTCAGTCAAATTTTGCGTATGGCTGAACCCGTGCATCTTCAGCTTCAAGTCGAATGTACAAAGTTCACTAACTGGGAAACAGCACATGGTTGCTCTAGTTGCTGCCTTTCACAGTTAACATTATGCGTCTCCCCTTTTTAACGATCTCTGCCTTCCAGATAACCTCAAGTTCAGATTCGCCTACCTATAAAGCTGATCGCCACTGAATTTTACTCAAATCATCATTATTGCCCTGAAAGTATTCAGGTGGAGCGTGACATTTTACACTTCATCCAACATGCCAGGGGAATGACGCTGAATTAATGCTTCTTCGGCACAATGGAAATCTATTCAGATTGTTTCCGGCAACACTTCACTATGATTAAGTTCCCATGAATCAGTCGCGCAAATGGTAGGTTTATTTCTGAGGGGTAAGCATGCCAACTACCTCGGCATATCAGTAGAAAGGATGCTCTGAGCATGTTCAGATATACAGAAAGTGTCTACATCTGTACCGAATTACTTGTAATTTGCCTCTTCGACTTTTACAAAGTGTCCCCCCACTCGAGTTGACATCACGTACCTGCTTCAGATAGCCGGCTTTCGGTAGCTTTGACACCGGCAGAAAGCATGAGGGATATGTGTTTGGCTAAATTGGCAGATTTGTTTTACATCAGGCACTTTGGTAAGGGATCTACACTCGATTAAACCTCATAGAATATGGCTACTTGAACATTTATCGAGCTGATAATATGTGGGGCTGTTCCCAAGCTTAGTGCAACGTATTGTTTACGAACATCGTCGCTGAGGCCCACTGACTGCATGTTTCATCGTCATAAGAGTTGATGTCACAACTCCCGACTGTGTTAATTCCGCAACGCCGTAGTGTTACTGATAAGCCGAATCCAGTAATAATGGTTCGCATGATAACCAATAATTTCAATATATGAAGTCCGTCAAATGTATGGATACACACAGGTCGTCATAGGAAACACACAAAAGTTCGTTTCAAATGGGGCATAGAAAGTGGAGGACAAGTTTTCGTTTAATGTGACCCATTGAGTGTGAAAAATTCAAGTCCTGGTAATGGACCAAAACGAGTAACAATAATGAAGTAAAATTGCAAAATCAGATACTCAATTCAAATGAGACGCGGGTGGGATTCTAGCACTGATCCACTATTAAATAGCTATGATCATGATGGCTCCTTACCATAGTAACCAAATCTTACAAGTGTTCAAACGTTGCTTTCTAACTCGAATTTGGCTTCCCTACAAAGCACCGTGTATCTTTGCGTTAGAGCATCAATAAGGACGAGATAGCCGCAGGAGAAAATGGATTACTATTTAACAGGAAGCGTATAAAATAATTAACCTCAAGAACAAAGAAGCACGCAGTAGACATATCGTTGCTCAGGCACTTGGGAAAAAGAGCCAACCGGATAAAGGACTAGGTGCAGATGACTTACATGAAAGTACCAGTGTCGATGATGGGAAGATTTTGGAAGAATGAAAGCGCAGTCGCGATAGCGGAGAGAATAGGGGAACCAAGTAGCGAAATCCAGAAATACATGCTTGTTTTAATAAAGATCTTATACTCCGACATTAAGTGGCAACAACTGATCAAGGTCGCCAACAGAGATAAAAGGTTCCGTGGCCATTCCCACGGTTGTTAAATTGGTGTAAATTCCAGAAATATTATCACTCTCAGTTACGCTCAAATCATCAGTGAAATCATCAGTACGTTCAGGGTACTCCGTCGTATTCACATCGACCTCGTCGGTCACGCCAACTGTGAAATCGTCGAAAGCGTCCGTAGTCACCTCCTCTCCTGAGAACCAGTCCTCGGTTGTTTCTTGCGTGGATTCACCCGATTCATCCGTAGACTCACCCCCAAATCCTCCATCGGATAATTCATTTGTGTGTTCTCCGTAAACCGTCGTATTCTGATCAAATTTGTCAGGCACTACATTTGTGAAGTCAACGAAAGCCTCTGTAGTCACCTCCTCTACTGTCAGCCAGTTTTCGGTCGTTCCCTCCGTCTCACCAACAACTACTTTATCAGAGTCAGTATCCGTTGCTTCTGAATAGTCAGTTGCACGCTGACCAACATCATGTGTAAATCCTTCTGTGAAATATTCGTAAACCTTTGTGGTCAACTTCAAACCCGGGAACACATCCTCCTTTGAACCTTCCGCAAAATCACCCGAATCATAAGTGGTATCACCTCCAACTACTCCATTGGAGAATTCATTTGTGTGTTCTGGGTATTCCGTCGTACTCTGACCAAATTCTTCGGTAACTCCATGGGTGAATTCACCGTAATCATCTGTAGTCACCTCCTCTCCTGAGAACCAGTCTTCGGTTGTTTCTTGCGTGGATTCACCCGATGCATCCGTGGTCTCACCTCCAACTACTCCATTGGAGAATTCATTTGTGTGTTCTGGGTATTCCGTCGTACTCTGACCAAATTCTTCGGTAACTCCATGTGTGAAGTCACCGTAATCATCTGTAGTCACCTCCTCTCCTGAGAACCAGTCTTCGGTTGTTTCTTGCGTGGATTCACCCGATGCATCCGTGGTCTCACCTCCAACTACTCCATTGGAGAATTCATTTGTGTGTTCTGGGTATTCCGTCGTACTCTGACCAAATTCTTCGGTAACTCCATGTGTGAATTCACCGTAATCATCTGTAGTCACCTCCTCTCCTGAGAACCAGTCTTCGGTTGTTTCTTGCGTGGATTCACCCGATGCATCCGTGGTCTCACCTCCAACTACTCCATTGGAGAATTCATTTGTGTGTTCTGGGTATTCCGTCGTACTCTGACCAAATTCTTCGGTAACTCCATGGGTGAAGTCACCGTAATCATCTGTAGTCACCTCCTCTCCTGAGAACCAGTCTTCGGTTGTTTCTTGCGTGGATTCACCCGATGCATCCGTGGTCTCACCTCCAACTACTCCATTGGAGAATTCATTTGTGTGTTCTGGGTATTCCGTCGTACTCTGACCAAATTCTTCGGTAACTCCATGTGTGAAGTCACCGTAATCATCTGTAGTCACCTCCTCTCCTGAGAACCAGTCTTCGGTTGTTTCTTGCGTGGATTCACCCGATGCATCCGTGGTCTCACCTCCAACTACTCCATTGGAGAATTCATTTGTGTGTTCTGGGTATTCCGTCGTACTCTGACCAAATTCTTCGGTAACTCCATGTGTGAATTCACCGTAATCATCTGTAGTCACCTCCTCTCCTGAGAACCAGTCTTCGGTGGTTCCTTCCGTAAATTCACCCGAGTCTTCTGAAGTCGCACCTCCAACTCCTCCATCGGAGAATTCATATGTGTGTTCTGGGTATTCCGTCGTACTCTGACCAAATTCTTCCGTCACTCCATCTGTGAAATCGTCCAAATGCTCTGTGGTCACATCCACACTCGGCAACCAATCCTCGGTGGACCCTTTCGTAAATTCACCCGAGTCTTCTGAAGTCGAACCTCCAAATCCTCCATCGGATAATTCATATGTGTGTTCTGGGTATTCAGTCGTACTCTGACCAAATTCTTCCGTCACTCCATCTGTGAAATCGTCCAAATGCTCTGTGGTCACATCCACACTCGGCAACCAATCCTCGGTGGACCCTTCCGTAAATTCACCCGAGTCTTCTGAAGTCGAACCTCCAAATCCTCCATCGGATAATTCATATGTGTGTTCTGGGTATTCAGTCGTACTCTGACCAAATTCTTCCGTCACTCCATCTGTGAAATCGTCCAAATGCTCTGTGGTCACATCCACACCCGTCAACCAATTCTCGGTGGACCCTTCCGTAAATTCACCCGAGTCTTCTGAAGTCGAACCTCCAAATCCTCCATCGGATAATTCATATGTGTGTTCTGGGTATTCCGTCGTACTCTGACCAAATTCTTCGGTCACTCCATTTGTGAAATCGTCCAAATGCTCTGTGGTCACATCCACACCCGGCAACCAATCCTCGGTGGACCCTTTCGTAAATTCACCCGAGTCTTCTGAAGTCGAACCTCCAAATCCTCCATCGGATAATTCATATGTGTGTTCTGGGTATTCAGTCGTACTCTGACCAAATTCTTCCATCACTCCATCTGTGAAATCGTCCAAATGCTCTGTGGTCACATCCACACTCGGCAACCAATCCTCGGTGGACCCTTTTGTAAATTCACCCGAGTCTTCTGAAGTCGAACCTCCAAATCCTCCATCGGATAATTCATATGTGTGTTCTGGGTATTCAGTCGTACTCTGACCAAATTCTTCCGTCACTCCATCTGTGAAATCGTCCAAATGCTCTGTGGTCACATCCACACTCGGCAACCAATCCTCGGTGGACCCTTTCGTAAATTCACCCGAGTCTTCTGAAGTCGAACCTCCAAATCCTCCATCGGATAATTCATATGTGTGTTCTGGGTATTCAGTCGTACTCTGACCAAATGCTTCCGTCACTCCATCTGTGAAATCGTCCAAATGCTCTGTGGTCACATCCACACCCGGCAACCAATCCTCGGTGGACCCTTCCGTAAATTCACCCGAGTCTTCTGAAGTCGAACCTCCAAATCCTCCATCGGATAATTCATCTGTGTGTTCTGGGTATTCAGTCGTACTCTGACCAAATTCTTCCGTCACTCCATCTGTGAAATCGTCCAAATGCTCTGTGGTCACATCCACACCCGGCAACCAATCCTCGGTGGACCCTTCCGTAAATTCACCCGAGTCTTCTGAAGTCGAACCTCCAAATCCTCCATCGGATAATTCATATGTGTGTTCTGGGTATTCAGTCGTACTCTGACCAAATTCTTCCGTCACTCCATCTGTGAAATCGTCCAAATGCTCTGTGGTCACATCCACACCCGGCAACCAATCCTCGGTGGACCCTTTCGAAAATTCACCCGAGTCTTCTGAAGTCGAACCTCCAAATCCTCCATCGGATAATTCATATGTGTGTTCTGGGTATTCAGTCGTACTCTGACCAAATTCTTCCGTCACTCCATCTGTGAAATCGTCCAAATGCTCTGTGGTCACATCCACACCCGGCAACCAATCCTCGGTGGACCCTTTCGTAAATTCACCCGAGTCTTCTGAAGTCGAACCTCCAAATCCTCCATCGGATAATTCATATGTGTGTTCTGGGTATTCAGTCGTACTCTGACCAAATGCTTCCGTCACTCCATCTGTGAAATCGTCCAAATGCTCTGTGGTCACATCCACACCCGGCAACCAATCCTCGGTGGACCCTTCCGTAAATTCACCCGAGTCTTCTGAAGTCGAACCTCCAAATCCTCCATCGGATAATTCATATGTGTGTTCTGGGTATTCAGTCGTACTCTGACCAAATTCTTCCGTCACTCCATCTGTGAAATCGTCCAAATGCTCTGTGGTCACATCCACACCCGGCAACCAATCCTCGGTGGACCCTTCCGTAAATTCACCCGAGTCTTCTGAAGTCGAACCTCCAAATCCTCCATCGGATAATTCATATGTGTGTTCTGGGTATTCAGTCGTACTCTGACCAAATTCTTCCGTCACTCCATCTGTGAAATCGTCCAAATGCTCTGTGGTCACATCCACACCCGGCAACCAATCCTCGGTGGACCCTTTCGTAAATTCACCCGAGTCTTCTGAAGTCGAACCTCCAAATCCTCCATCGGATAATTCATATGTGTGTTCTGGGTATTCAGTCGTACTCTGACCAAATTCTTCCGTCACTCCATCTGTGAAATCGTCCAAATGCTCTGTGGTCACATCCACACCCGGCAACCAATCCTCGGTGGACCCTTTTGTAAATTCACCCGAGTCTTCTGAAGTCGAACCTCCAAATCCTCCATCGGATAATTCATATGTGTGTTCTGGGTATTCAGTCGTACTCTGACCAAATTCTTCCGTCACTCCATCTGTGAAATCGTCCAAATGCTCTGTGGTCACATCCACACTCGGCAACCAATCCTCGGTGGACCCTTTCGTAAATTCACCCGAGTCTTCTGAAGTCGAACCTCCAAATCCTCCATCGGATAATTCATATGTGTGTTCTGGGTATTCAGTCGTACTCTGACCAAATTCTTCCGTCACTCCATCTGTGAAATCGTCCAAATGCTCTGTGGTCACATCCACACCCGGCAACCAATCCTCGGTGGACCCTTTCGTAAATTCACCCGAGTCTTCTGAAGTCGAACCTCCAAATCCTCCATCGGATAATTCATATGTGTGTTCTGGGTATTCAGTCGTACTCTGACCAAATTCTTCCGTCACTCCATCTGTGAAATCGTCCAAACGCTCTGTGGTCACATCCACACCCGGCAACCAATCCTCGGTGGACCCTTCCGTAAATTCACCCGAGTCTTCTGAAGTCGAACCTCCAAATCCTCCATCGGATAATTCATATGTGTGTTCTGGGTATTCAGTCGTACTCTGACCAAATTCTTCCGTCACTCCATCTGTGAAATCGTCGAAATGCTCTGTGGTCACATCCACACCCGTCAACCAATTCTCGGTGGACCCTTCCGTAAATTCACCCGAGTCTTCTGAAGTCGAACCTCCAAATCCTCCATCGGATAATTCATCTGTGTGTTCTGGGTATTCAGTCGTACTCTGACCAAATTCTTCGGTCACTCCATCTGTCATATCGTCGAAATGCTCTGTGGTCACATCTACACCCGTCAACCAATTCTCGGTGGACCCTTCCGTAAATTCACCCGAGTCTTCTGAAGTCGAACCTCCAAATCCTCCATCGGATAATTCATCTGTGTGTTCTGGGTATTCAGTCGTACTCTGACCAAATTCTTCGTACTCCATCTGTACTGGGTATCGTCGTACTCTGACCAATTCTTCGTACTCCATTGTGAATCCCATTCTGTTCACTCCCCCGACATCTCGGTGCTTCGTATTCACCGACTCGGTCACCTCCAACTCCTCCATTGGAGAATTCATTTGTGTGTTCTGGGTATTCCGTCGTACTCTGACCAAATTCTTCGGTAACTCCATGTGTGAAGTCACCGTAATCATCTGTAGTCACCTCCTCTCCTGAGAACCAGTCTTCGGTTGTTTCTTGCGTGGATTCACCCGATGCATCCGTGGTCTCACCTCCAACTACTCCATTGGAGAATTCATTTGTGTGTTCTGGGTATTCCGTCGTACTCTGACCAAATTCTTCGGTAACTCCATGTGTGAAGTCACCGTAATCATCTGTAGTCACCTCCTCTCCTGAGAACCAGTCTTCGGTTGTTTCTTGCGTGGATTCACCCGATGCATCCGTGGTCTCACCTCCAACTACTCCATTGGAGAATTCATTTGTGTGTTCTGGGTATTCCGTCGTACTCTGACCAAATTCTTCGGTAACTCCATGTGTGAATTCACCGTAATCATCTGTAGTCACCTCCTCTCCTGAGAACCAGTCTTCGGTTGTTTCTTGCGTGGATTCACCCGATGCATCCGTGGTCTCACCTCCAACTACTCCATTGGAGAATTCATTTGTGTGTTCTGGGTATTCCGTCGTACTCTGACCAAATTCTTCGGTAACTCCATGTGTGAAGTCACCGTAATCATCTGTAGTCACCTCCTCTCCTGAGAACCAGTCTTCGGTTGTTTCTTGCGTGGATTCACCCGATGCATCCGTGGTCTCACCTCCAACTACTCCATGGGAGAATTCATTTGTGTGTTCTGGGTATTCCGTCGTACTCTGACCAAATTCTTCGGTAACTCCATGTGTGAAGTCACCGTAATCATCTGTAGTCACCTCCTCTCCTGAGAACCAGTCTTCGGTTGTTTCTTGCGTGGATTCACCCGATGCATCCGTGGTCTCACCTCCAACTACTCCATTGGAGAATTCATTTGTGTGTTCTGGGTATTCCGTCGTACTCTGACCAAATTCTTCGGTAACTCCATGTGTGAAGTCACCGTAATCATCTGTAGTCACCTCCTCTCCTGAGAACCAGTCTTCGGTTGTTTCTTGCGTGGATTCACCCGATGCATCCGTGGTCTCACCTCCAACTACTCCATTGGAGAATTCATTTGTGTGTTCTGGGTATTCCGTCGTACTCTGACCAAATTCTTCGGTAACTCCATGTGTGAATTCACCGTAATCATCTGTAGTCACCTCCTCTCCTGAGAACCAGTCTTCGGTTGTTTCTTGCGTGGATTCACCCGATGCATCCGTGGTCTCACCTCCAACTACTCCATTGGAGAATTCATTTGTGTGTTCTGGGTATTCCGTCGTACTCTGACCAAATTCTTCGGTAACTCCATGTGTGAAGTCACCGTAATCATCTGTAGTCACCTCCTCTCCTGAGAACCAGTCTTCGGTTGTTTCTTGCGTGGATTCACCCGATGCATCCGTGGTCTCACCTCCAACTACTCCATTGGAGAATTCATTTGTGTGTTCTGGGTATTCCGTCGTACTCTGACCAAATTCTTCGGTAACTCCATGTGTGAAGTCACCGTAATCATCTGTAGTCACCTCCTCTCCTGAGAACCAGTCTTCGGTTGATTCTCGCGAGAATTCACCTGATTCAGCCGTGGTCTCACCTCCAACTACTCCATTGGAGAATTCATTTGTGTGTTCTGGGTATTCCGTCGTACTCTGACCAAATTCTTCGGTAACTCCATGTGTGAAGTCACCGTAATCATCTGTAGTCACCTCCTCTCCTGAGAACCAGTCCTCGGTTGTTTCTTGCGTGAATTCACCCGATGCATCCGTGGTCTCACCTCCAACTACTCCATTGGAGAATTCATTTGTGTGTTCTGGGTATTCCGTCGTACTCTGACCAAATTCTTCGGTAACTCCATGTGTGAATTCACCGTAATCATCTGTAGTCACCTCCTCTCCTGAGAACCAGTCTTCGGTTGTTTCTTGCGTGGATTCACCCGATGCATCCGTGGTCTCACCTCCAACTACTCCATTGGAGAATTCATTTGTGTGTTCTGGGTATTCCGTCGTACTCTGACCAAATTCTTCGGTAACTCCATGTGTGAAGTCACCGTAATCATCTGTAGTCACCTCCTCTCCTGAGAACCAGTCTTCGGTTGTTTCTTGCGTGGATTCACCCGATGCATCCGTGGTCTCACCTCCAACTACTCCATTGGAGAATTCATTTGTGTGTTCTGGGTATTCCGTCGTACTCTGACCAAATTCTTCGGTAACTCCATGTGTGAAGTCACCGTAATCATCTGTAGTCACCTCCTCTCCTGAGAACCAGTCTTCGGTTGTTTCTTGCGTGGATTCACCCGATGCATCCGTGGTCTCACCTCCAACTACTCCATTGGAGAATTCATTTGTGTGTTCTGGGTATTCCGTCGTACTCTGACCAAATTCTTCGGTAACTCCATGTGTGAATTCACCGTAATCATCTGTAGTCACCTCCTCTCCTGAGAACCAGTCTTCGGTTGTTTCTTGCGTGAATTCACCCAATTCATCCGTGGTCTCACCTCCAACTACTCCATTGGAGAATTCATTTGTGTGTTCTGGGTATTCCGTCGTACTCTGACCAAATTCTTCGGTAACTCCATGTGTGAAGTCACCGTAATCATCTGTAGTCACCTCCTCTCCTGAGAACCAGTCTTCGGTTGTTTCTTGCGTGGATTCACCCGATGCATCCGTGGTCTCACCTCCAACTACTCCATTGGAGAATTCATTTGTGTGTTCTGGGTATTCCGTCGTACTCTGACCAAATTCTTCGGTAACTTCATGGGTGAAGTCACTGTAATCATCTGTAGTCACCTCCTCTCCTGAGAACCAGTCCTCGGTTGTTTCTTGCGTGAATTCACCCAATTCATCCGTGGTCTCACCTCCAACTACTCCATTGGAGAATTCATTTGTGTGTTCTGGGTATTCCGTCGTACTCTGACCAAATTCTTCGGTAACTCCATGTGTGAAGTCACCGTAATCATCTGTAGTCACCTCCTCTCCTGAGAACCAGTCTTCGGTTGTTTCTTGCGTGGATTCACCCGATGCATCCGTGGTCTCACCTCCAACTACTCCATCGGACAGTTCATTTGTGTGTTCTGGGTATTCCGTCGTACTCTGACCAAATTCTTCGGTAACTCCATGTGTGAAGTCACCGTAATCATCTGTAGTCACCTCCTCTCCTGAGAACCAGTCTTCGGTTGTTTCTTGCGTGGATTCACCCGATGCATCCGTGGTCTCACCTCCAACTACTCCATTGGAGAATTCATTTGTGTGTTCTGGGTATTCCGTCGTACTCTGACCAAATTCTTCGGTAACTCCATGTGTGAAGTCACCGTAATCATCTGTAGTCACCTCCTCTCCTGAGAACCAGTCTTCGGTTGTTTCTTGCGTGGATTCACCCGATGCATCCGTGGTCTCACCTCCAACTACTCCATTGGAGAATTCATTTGTGTGTTCTGGGTATTCCGTCGTACTCTGACCAAATTCTTCGTTCACTTCTTCTGTGAAATCGTCGACATGCTCTGTTGTCACATCCACACCCGGCACCCGAACTTCGGTTGAATCTTCCGTTAATTCACCCGAGTCGTCTGTGGTCACACCTCCAAATTCTCCCTCTGAGTATTCGTTTGTGTGTTCTCCGTATTTCGTCATATTTTGATCAAATTCGTCGGTAGCTCCATGTGTTGGTTCGCCATATGCCTCTGTGGTCACATCCACACTCGGCAACGGAAGTTCAGTTGACTCTTCCGTGAATTGACCCAAGTCGTCCGTGGTCTCATCTCTAACTCCTTCATCGGATAATTCATTTGTTCGTTCTCCGTGTTCCGTCGTGTTCTGATCAAATTCGTCAGTCACTCCATCAGTGAAATCGCCGTAAGCCTCTGTATTCCCCACCACTCCTGACGCCCCGACTTCGGTTGATTCTTCCGTGAATTTACCCGGATTATCCGTGTTCTTTCCTGCAACTCCTCCATAGGAGAATTCACTTGTTTGTTCTGGGTACTCCGTCGTTCTCTGGTCTAATTTTTCGTTTAATCCACCTGTGAAATCGTCGTAATCCGCTGTGGTCATATTCACACCCGGCATAGAATCTTCAGTTGACTCTTTCTTGAATTCATCTGATTCTTCCGTGGTCTCACCTTTAACCCCTTCATCGGCGATACCATCTGTCGCTTCTGGATTGTGGGTTGTACGCTGATCAACTTCGTCTGTAACTTCATTTGTAAAATCTTTGTTAGCCACTGTGGTCTCCTCCTTTCCTGATATCCAGTCTTCCATTGATTCCTCCGTGAATACCTTCCAGTCGTCGTTGGTCGCTCCTCCGATTCCACCTTCGGAAGATTGTTTTGTGTTTTCTTTGTACTCCGTCGTACTCTTACCTACAACGTCTTTAACTCCATCTGCTATCTTATCGTAACCGTCTCTGTTTACCTTCTTGCTCGGTAACCGCCCTTTTTTTGGTACTTCTGTTTTCTCATTCAAAGGATGCCTATATTCCTTACGTGTTTGCCCATGGTCCCACGAACTTCCATTTCTGATGTATTTGTGACTGACTGGTGCTGGTACTGCTCCTATCGGCACTGCGTGCCCCACGCCATGAAGGGCGGCTAGTTGGACAAGTAGCAGTACTACAGCCTTCATTCTTTAGCTGGTCTTCTCAACGGGCTGAAATATAATGAAACACGCGTAAGTTAATCGCAATATTTAGACATGGTACACCATCTAGCTGTTATTGTGGCTTGTTTATATGAGGAAGTCGGAGATCCCGCCTCCCACTCTGCCAGACTCGTCAGTGATGCATGGGACATTAGTGATAACAATAATGATAATATTAATAGTGTTTATATAGTCGCCATTCTATCAATTAGACATAGAACCAAACATAATCATGGAACTTAGTAAAAGAAGACAGGTTTAACACCATATCAGCATCATGGTACCTTAACTGAAGGTGAGCAACACACCAGTTATGTTGCCGCAATATAAAAAACAACGGAGCATTTTTATTTTGCACACGCGATTTTTAATTTGTTGTCTTTAAGCACCAAGTTAAGCACCAAGTATCCAAATCTAAGCAATTATATACACAGATCCTCCACTGATTTAGATTACGGACCATATGCTGAATTGTTTTCAGCCATCCGCACTCTTGGCCCTTTGGTCCCCAACCAGGCAGACGGGTAGATCCATTGGTGGCAAGACTTGAAGTCATCGATTACATTTGCTGTCGCCAGGCGGATGGTGGACCACCACGTGGTCTCTTCCAGTTGAGTCCTGCTCGAGCAAACAGTATGTGACAGGGCAAACGCTCAGCCGACATATGCATGACTTGACTGAACCATCTTAACTGGCACAGCAAAACCGGATTCTTGTAGGGAATACTCGAGTTCCCTAAGACACGACATCTGACTTCACTGTTGCAATTGTTTTGTTGCTAACACACATGAGCAATCCTCCCCAAGCACCCGTTGTCTAAGGCAGAGATCCAGGGCATATCGTCTACGTGAACTGGCAATGCCTGGCTTCCATATGGCAACACCGTGGCATTGTAAACACGACCCTTTACGAAGAGGGAGATATCCCGGCAACGCCACAAGTGCGAGGTTAGCTGGCTAATGATAACTTAGTCTTCATATTTAAACAGCTCCGGAGGAAGTCCGTCTGAGCCGGCAGCCTTAAATTGTCTTAAGTGTCGAATGGCAAGATAAACTTCTGCTTCGCCGGGTGGATCAAGTATGAAGATCTGGGGCGGGCACCTTGGTTCGCAGGTGATATAGGTGGACGGTGTGGGCCCATTGAACTGGAAATGAAAATGTCCGGCCTATCGATTCAAGCGCCTCTGCAAGTTGGCAATCGGCAACCATCCGCTTCGCATATAGTCTCACCGACACCAGGCTTTCTGTGGCCAGTGGATCGAATGAGCTGGAAGTGCTTGCGAGTTTGCCAGAGAGGACAGCGGCTTCTATTTCCGAAGCACGCTGGGAACACCATGCTTCACAGTCAGTGCGTAGGTTTTGTTTTAGCTGCCGACTGAGAGGACGGCGCACTGCATCATGAGTAGACTCGGCTGGGATATCCCTGCCTCGGTCAAATAAATCCAAAGAACGCGTGGAGATCCAGGTCTTCATAGGGTGCTGAGTAAGACCACAGACTTGCTGTCCGAAGAGATCATGGTCGTCTACATGCACTTCCAGTGTCAATCAATATCTTGCAGCGGGCCTCAGCCGAGTGCACCAGCCAGAGAAGCTTGATAACTGTTGAACCGACACAGCAGAGAGTTTATTTGTGTCTATCTTACAGCGCTACGTTTTCGGAGACCCTCCGAAACTCATGCAGATGTTCGCACAGACAAGAGCATGGTCTGAGCCAAGAAAAGTGGACCAAATGGACCTGCAATCCTTTACACTACCCCTCCATCTAAAACTGATTGCGATATGATCAATCTGAGACCATGATTGAGACGCAGAAGGGGGTCGCCAAGTAGCGGAACGTCTCCTCGAATACCGAAAGTTGGTTCTCGAGAGCAAAAGGTGATTATCCTTGCACAGTGTGAGAAGTCCCTCTCCATAATGTGAGTGCCTCTCATCGAGCGCATGGTGACCACCGCCAACATGCCAGCAGACGAGGAAACCCATGCGTTGAGGTCCCCAGCAAGGACAACGATGTCGGATTTGCAGGCTCTGCTCAAGAGCTGCAGAAGTTCACGCTAGAAATCGTCCTTGATGGAGTAGGAACCGCAGTCGGTTGAAGCGTAAGCTAAGACAACAAACAAGTTGCGTCTATTTGCACTTTGCATTCGTTTCCGCTGGACCAAGCGTTGCTCGTGGATCTCAGTGGTATAGTGCTTATGGTGTCAACCGTGAGCCACTAGGCTCTGAGTTCCAGCCCAACTCAGGCTATCTCGAACTGATGAGTCCCAACCAGGACGAAACCGCGGTCTTCGGGTGCCAGTATTGGGATGAGCAACACTATAATTTTTCTATTTTACTTACGGTCTTTTTGCTCGGAATGACCGAGGTCCACCTCAAGTGAACCGAGGCATCAATAGAGGTTGCTTGTAGCAACCCAACCACCAGCGGATTCTCCAGGCCCAACTTTGCATTCGTTTCCGCTGGACCAAGCGTTGCTCGTGGATCTCAGTGGCATAGTGCTTATGGTGTCAACCATGAGCCACTAGGCTCCGAGTTCCAGCCCAACTCAGGCTATCTCGAACTGATGAGTCCCAACCAGGACGAAACCGCGGTCTTCAGGTGCCAGTGTTGGGATGAGCAACACTATAATGTTTCTAAATTGCGTCTCTCCTCACAACATTGATTTATCTTGTATGATCCCCGAAGCCGAACTGCACACAGTCGGTTATTACTCGGGAACTAGTCCAGCAGTGCTGCCTCGGCTTTGCTACTTAGCGCTACACCAACGCCAGCCAAGCCTTCCGCAGCTGCTTCTACCTCACCAGATAGATGTAGGTGAAACATGGCTCCGTGATCGGTGGGAGATCTCAACTCAATCACAGTACTGGGATGTTGTACGCGCGTTTCGGAAAGACAGTAAACATCGATAGCGAGGGGTTCCAGGGTGCTTCCCGATCTTCATGAGTGTACGTACATTGAAGCATGCCAGTAGGAACGAAGATGGAGACCGAAGGAGTGTAACTGGGCGAGTTCTCTGGGTGTCGACGAAACCATCCGGAGTAGAATCATGGAAACAAGAATCATTTAGTAACGGATAATACTAATTGGTAACAACTGAACAGGTGACATGTGAGGGTGAGTGACGAGCAGGAGTAAAAGCAGCTGAGAGCGATATTGCAGTTGAACAGTCCATGGTTTTGTCAGCGGGCGTGATACTGCCCGGTTGCCCAATCCGAAATAGTGCGTTATCTTAGGGGCCTCCGCACCGCCTACCTGTAAGTCAGCGGGGCAATGATGAGACTGGTAGTATGACCCCTAACCACTGATCTTTTGGTATGTGTGGCTCTGAAGGCACTTGAAACTGCCATCCAACGTAGTTCAATGGGTCACAGGGGTACATAAACCATCGCACTACGTTAAGGTCCAGTCTCGTTGCGATGGGTGCACAGGAGTTTGTATCGACATCGCTTAATGCCGACACTTTCAGATGGAGATAACCACGTGAAAAGTTGCGATTCGTGGCACTTACTGATGGATTCCCTACCAATGACACAACGTATCCCACGAACGTCCACGTGGTGTCTGTTTAATTACCGTATGAAGCATATTTGTGTGTATACTATATAGTGCTTTGCGTGTGGTGTGCGAAATAGTAAGTTCGACCGATGAGACTTCTGTTGTTTTGCGATCAGTACAGGTCAGGAATACACCGTGGTATGCAGCCAGAAGACTGTGGCTACTTCCACTGGGATATCGATTCACGTTGTCTTCTGATACCAATTTTATGTCTGGCGGCTGAAAACCTGAATTTGCTTTTGCACAGCTACGGCAACATTAATCGGTTGTTAGTTCCTAAGGTCCTTTTGAAGTCAATGTGCAGCAACACAAGAATTTGGTGTGCTTCTTAATGCGACCACCAAACCAGAAAAACCTTCAGTAAGGTCCAACTTGCGCAACTGTGCCAACAAAGTGAACTCGCGCTTTGCTGGAAATTTTATGTTACAATAATTATTCAGTGGATTAGGTTTGGGAACGTTTATTTCGTGTTGATCGCGAATACACTCCAAGTATATCAATACAATGAGAGAGGCTGCTTTCTAGATGGGACTGATCAGAGGGCTTTACAACCACTTCATGCCATCTCATGTATAATTAGAAAATAGGAGAACAAATTTCAGGTTGATGCATTACATAGTCATCCGAATGCTTTGCAGATTTTTCGACTCATTGATGAACCAGTTTTCGCAAAAACATGATCGATGTTCGGGCTGGGAAGAGAATGGAACGAAACGGTCTGTGGACCAGATAAAGCGTTGTTCATAATTTTCTACGGCGCGTCACTGAAACCGTCCTCGAAAGTGCTATCCAGAGATTATGATGTTTTAAACGTATTAACCGGGTTGTGAACGGTCAACTGCCCATTAATCACAAGCTGGAATTTAAGTACTCTATACCATCGTCCGGCGTCTGCTGGAAGTTTGCACCAATATTTGTGTAGTGGATTAGAAAGCAACATTATCTGATTCTCTCAGAAGAATTTCAAATCGTAGGCTTTGTTTTCTTTGTTGCAGATGGGGTAGCTAGCATTCAAGGACACATGGACGGTGATTGATGCGTCATTTTGAACTATTCGTTGTGTGAATGGATTGCGGCGGGTAATCGCAGTATGCACCTAGATCCACAGTGAACAGAGCCTTGATCAAGTCGATCAGACCCAATATCATCCTGCTTCAATAGTTTTCGTCCCAATGATGGAATCGGCCAAGGTTCGTTTCAATGCAAAACCCATTCCACTTGGAGACCGCGAGTCGCAATCCAATCTTACAGTGAGTGCCTCAAAATGACCATTCAACTAGTTATTAACCGTTATGCTAAGCGTTGCCAGTCATGGCGCGGTGATTAAGGCGATAGAGGACCGAAGCAACATCACAGTCGTCTCGAGGCTGATGTCTGTTAGCTCTACCTGATGCGATCAATTATGGCTGAAACGCGTCTTGTATGTTAACATAA